CAGGGACCTGAGCAGAGGTGGGAGAGGCAGTGAGTAGAGTCTGCACCAGCAGCCGTCAAGTCAGTTCAGCTCCTGTGTGTCTCAGTAAAACTGTGCTCTCAAAGGACATATTTTTATAAATGAATCACCCAGGCTGTTTTCCCAAGGAGCATCTGAGGGGGCCTGAACCCCCAACTTTTTGGTTAGTAACCAGGTACACCACCCTTCCTCTACCCAAGGTCCCCAGGTGCCGTACAGTCAGCCACTGTGCTGTGGTTAGCCCTCCCCCACAGTCCCCGGTGTTCCTTCCCTCCCCACCCCCACATACCTCTTTGGAGCACCAGGCACATTGTGGGTGGATGAGTAGACACTCTTCACAGGAGGTAGCACTTCCACCAGTGCAGATGTTGAGACCTTCAAAGCAAGATAAAGATGACCCTTCAGTTCCTGGCTATAAACATCCAGATAACGTCTTTGAATAGGTGGGGTAGGAATGGATTCATTGCAACAGAGGATCTCTCCAAGGCCCATGGGCACAGGCCCCAATGCTAACTGCGGGTGATGGTTCATTGGCCAAAGCTAAACACCATTCTTTAAGCATCCACCAATCGTGCACACTCAAGTCCATTCCAATTCACAGCAACCCTGGGGGGTGGGGGGTGGGGTAGAAGCGCCACACCGGGGTGGGGGGTAGGGGAGCTCCCACGACTGTAATCTCTGGGGCTGGTGGGTTCAAGCCACCAATTTGGGGGGTTAGCACCAAGCACTTTAACCAGTGAACCACCAGGCTCCTTCCACTCCTACAGGGAGACTTCAGAAGGTCATGGGAAAATTCATTATCTTTTCATTCTTTGTGGGGAGGAGGTGGGAGGGAAGCTCCTTCCTCGGCTGGGCTCACTCCCTTCCAGCCACACAGTCGATCCTCCCTCTTTGATAGGGAACAAGAACCCTTTACACTTTGGCTACTCAAGCCCTGATAAAAAACAGTAGGAGAAAGAGGAAGAACAGACCCCTCGCTTTCAGACAAAAGGCAGGAAAATCCTAAATCCAGTCCCTGCCACATTGGAATCTGCAGTGTGGGCAGAAGCGGTGTTCGCTCCCTGGGCTGCCGGCGAGTGCCTCCTTGGAAGGCAAGGCCGGATTCAGATCAAGGAAGTCCCCTAATGACAGCAAGCAGTGGTTGCTGTCTGAGTAAAGGTGACTTCTTACACACACAGCCCAACCCCGCCCCCTCCAACTGCAATCATCTAGGGAGGGGTCTCCAAGGGCAAGTGGGGCGGCTAAGTCCATTGTCCACCCTCTAGGCCCCAACAGCATAGAGAGCCCTGGTGAAACTGATCATCCTTTTATTTTCCAGTGAGCCCCGGAGGCACTATCTACAAGGTCAGCAGTTCGAACCCATCAGTTGCTCCACAAGAAAAAGAGGAAGCTGCCTGCTCCTGTAAAGATTTAAAGTCCAAGAAATCCAGAGGAGGGCACCCCCTTACAGAAGGGTCAAGGAAGAGTCAGGGGGAAGTAAAGCACCAATGAAACACATAATGTTCCCCTAGTTCTTTAATGCTTCCTCCTCCCCCACTACCATGACCCCAATCCTACCTCACATATCTGGCTAGACCAGAGC